CAGAGTCAGATGCCTGCTGTCTGAGCAGCAGCAGCCCTGGGAAGACCTGCTCTGTGCCTGCGCTCCCCACTTTCCATGGGGCCTTCTCTTGGGCCTCCCTGCCCACCAGGGTCCGGACACCCCTGTGCCCTAAGACCCCTCCATCAGGCCTCCCCGCCCATCCAGGCCCTGACCCCCCACGCCCTGTCCACAGTACCTGCTGTCCATGGTGGTGGAGTACTTCAGCCGCGTGGGGCTGCCTGGACACCTCTACAACAGGGTCCACTTCTTATTGGCCCTGTGAGTGCCCCCTCAGGACCTGCCTCCAGTTCTGCCCAATACCACTGGCCATACCCTGAGGGTCCCAGTGGGGGCTCCCGTTGGCCACAGAGCAGACCCAGTCATCAGGGGTCACACAGCCATGAGGAAAGGGGCCATGAGTAAGGTCTGAGATGAGGGAAATAGCCAGGAAACCCCCCTTGCTGCCCAGAGACAAGGGACTAAGGGCAAACACCCAGGAAATGCCAGGAGCCTGGCCTGGGTACAACACAAACTACAGACTCGCGCTGAGAACAGTCTTGCCACCTGCTGGCCTCAGGGCCCCTGCAAATGGGGCTCCCCCTGACCCTTTCTCCTGGACACACTGCCCCAGACACCAGCTGTCCCTGAGGCTGGGAGTCATCGCTGGGGCCGGGATAGGGTCTTCTGTCTCTGTGGCAGCTACCTGAGCTCTGACACGGAGGACAACCCCGCCTCCAAGCACAGGGTCTCTCCATTCCTGCTGGGATAGCAGCCCTGGCCCCAGCCTCACAAGGACTACAAGCTGGAGGAGCAGTTCTTCCAAGAGATGGGGGGCCCAGCCTGGGTCACCCCAGAGCTGTGCCAGGTGCTGGGGAACCGGGCCACTGGGGACTGGGAGGCCTGGCGGTGGGCCCTTCATCCGCTTCCTTCTCAGACCCATGTCCGGAATGCACATCACTGGGTCTGGAGTCAGGTGTGCCCGCGTGCCCGCGCCAGGCTCCCAGGGAACAAGCAGGGCTGCCGGTGGGCCAGAGCAGGGTCGGCAAACTGCAGCTCACGGGCCACATGCTGCTCTTTGGGTGCGTTCTGTCTTGAAAGTTTGCCGACCCCTGGTCCAGAGCATAAGGGTGACAGCTGATTTCCCTGAGCAACTTCCCACCATGTACCATGCGGTGCGTCTGCCTTCCCCTCCACCCTGACCCCACTTTCTCTGTTCTTGCAGCTCCCGCAGCGCCCCCTACCCCCGCCCCCAGGCTCCAGGTGGCACCAGCATGGGGACCTAGCCTCTTCACACCTGCAGGCCCGATGGACAGTGCAGGAAGAGCCCATGGCACAGTGGCCCACAGCCTTCCGGTAGGTATCAGCCAACGATGGCCCCAGACCCCTGGATATCCTGGAGCATCTAGCATTAACGTGGAAGGGACACCCAAGGGAACAAAGAGACTGACGCAGGGGCCTCTGCGGAGACTGCAGATGGCCAGAGGGAGACGGGATGGAAAATCTGTGAAGGAGCCTAGACCACCAAGGAGCAGTCTGAAGGAAGAAGCCAGAGAAGCGACCAGAAGGTGGCGAAGAGGAGATGGAAGGGGAGAGAGGAGACCGCCCATTGTAGACAGTCAGCACCTGGGGACAACTGTGCTCGGAGCCCCTGCTGACAACCTGCACAGCAGCTCTGTCCAGTGGGGAGACGACGGGCAGGTCAGCCACAGGACAGGACGAACGCAGGCCTGCGCGTACTGGTGTGTCCACCTGAGGCTGACACAGTAGCAAGAAAAGGGAGTGTGTATGCATTGCACACTCCGGGGTAGAAATAACCCAACCTTCAAAGTGATAGAAGGCAGAGAAAAACGGGACTCGAGAGTGGGTGCTGGGGACAGGTGGGGAGGTCCTGGGGAGTCATCAAAGCTGGGAACAAGACAGTGGGAGCCGAGGTAAAGAAAAGAGGTCCTACAAAAATGCTGTTAAACGTATTCAGAAAAACATGGGCCAGTCTAACTGCTAAGCGTAATGAATACAACCAATTTCTAAAAAACAGACCAAATAAAGACACAGTAAATATAGAAAATACACTAAACATAATAAAAAACTGACACACAACTGAGATCGGTCACATTATTTGTATCAATAAATCTGAACTTGCTATTAAAGGTTTCAGATTGATTCACAAAGCAAAATCCAGCTTTATGTGGTTTCTGAGATTATCCTTAAATCAATTCAGAGGAGCTAAAAATGGGGGAAACACAGCAGATGCCCTCAAACCAGAGTGAGAACTGTGATCTTGACACCAACGAAGGAACACTCAGGCTCCAAGTCCTCCAGAGAGACTGGGAGGGACACGGAGTGGGGCGGGGGGAAGGAGTCTATGGGGGAATGGGGATCGGTGGCCAGTGTCAAAGTTGACTCAGGGGCCTGGGAAGGGCCACCACAGCTTGATTCACTCGGTCATGTGCAGGTGTGACTAGCACGTGAGCTGGGACATACCCTCGCCAGAAGCTATGAAGTGGCCTATTCAGGAAAAGCTGGGCAGCAGCACAGGGAGCAGTGGGCTGGACCCAAGGTCTCCTCGTGCCGGGCCTGGGTCGACCTCAGTCCCACAGGTGTGTGCCCCCTCGATCCTACAGGTGCGTGCCTTCACCTCACACAGACGTTGGCCAATCTATGCATGCGTGCATGCACGTGTGACGGTGCTGCATCTCGCAGGCCATTACCTGCATTCCATGCGTGCACGGAGCAGAGACGGGGTGTGACAGATAGCACCAGCACTCACCAGTGTCTGGTCCTCCTCGTCTTCGTGGACACATGGAAGGAGTCACATGAGCTGGAGCTACCCAACTACTTTTTGCCAACAGGCTGTAACTGGAAGTGGCCACTCTGGGCCAAGACACCTAAAAGCCGGGCGTGTCCCCAGCTCTTCCCCTGCCACGACTCCGAGGAGGCTGGAATGTTCTGGATGGGGAGGGCTACCATAAGTAGCTGCGCTCTATCGCCCCAGCATGACTGCCAGAACATGCTCTCTGCCTCCTGCCAGCTGAACAAGCGCGACACCAAAGATATTGCTGTCCCCAGACCGTCTGCCTCTCTCACCTTGCTCCCTCTTCGAAAGCCTGGTGTTGTCTTTGTTGACAACCTTCTAGTGACTTCTCTCTCCCTCACACATGAGAGTCCACATGAGCGCAAGGAACTATCTCTCAAGTTCTTCTTTAGAGAAAAGCAACGGAGAGTGAAGATACAGCCACTGCTGTCTAGATAGTGAATCATGTCAATTCCAATTCAAATGGGATTTCTATCATCTATGTTTTTTTTTCTTTTTCTTTTACTGTTACTCAGAGAAGAAAAACTACTCAAGTGTTAACACCTATCACCCTCCTGCCAGCACACCTGCCATGCTTCCCACACAGAAGCAAGTCCTGGGGCACTTTGAGGAGCACTGGGCATCTAGACAATGGCTCTGCCTCCAGTCTAGTGCCCAGGAAATGCAAGCCCCTCTGCAGGAGCAAAGGCCACATGGGCTTTGGCAAAATCAAAACAGAAACATTCCTATTTGCTCTAATTTTTACTTCTAAAGCTAAACACCTCAATTCAGGATACGGACATGTGACATCACTGAATGGGTCCTAAGCTTCTACCATTTACTGTTACAGTGGCCATTCAGGAAGGACAGGGCACATGTCACAATAAGGATGACAGAGCTTTCTACTTCCTGTACTAGAAGACAGAGGCTGGGGAACATTCGCTTGATTATCATTCATCATACACTCCAGAAACCCCAGATACAGACGTGCAGGCCCTCCACCTAAATACAGATATGAAGCACCTCCAACCTGAATGGATACAGGTGTGCGGCCCTCCACCGTGGGTGGGTACAGGTGTGCGGCCCTCCACCATGGGTGGGTACAGATGTGCAGCCCCTCCACGCTTGGTGGGTACAGATGTGCGGCCCTCCTCC